TCTTTAAAACAACCGGTAGAACTCATCCGTTGCACAAGCAAGAAAAGAAAGGCCACGAGCTCTGTTCTAAAGCGTGAGCGGCTCTGCACAGGCAGCGTCTTCTACCCGCTGTTTTCTGAGCGCCGCCCCTCGCTTGGCTCATGCTTCGTTGCACTGTCACCTTTACGCTAATTAATTTTGTTTCTCTCCCTGGTGGCAGACTAGACACCCTTCAACAAATACTTATTGCACCTCCCACCATGGACCAGGCCCTGGACACAAAGATTTTAAAAATAACTAGTAGATAACGTTTTGGAGAGCTTTCTAGGTGCCAAGATGATTCTAAATGTTTCCACATATGTTAACTCCACAGCCCCATGAGGTATGCGGATACTATTATTAGCTCCATTTTCCAGATGAGGAAAAGAGGCACAGAGCTATTAAGTAACTTGCCCACGTCTCAGAACTAGTGAGTAACGGAGCCAGGATTAGGTCCCAAGCAGCCTGAGTCCGAAGCCCACCCTGAGAACCACTGTCTTATACAACCATGAGGAAGACATGTCCCTGCAGTTAGAGAATTTATGGTCTAATAAGAGAGCCCCGTCCATCCATCCAATGATAACACACTGTGAGGGGTGTGACAGGAGCGCAGCAAAGGGCTCGGGACCTCAGAAGAGGGAGCAGTTGAGTCCAGCTGCAGCCGAGGAGCGAGCAGAAACAATAGTACTAGCTCATACTGATTGAAAGGTTCCCACATCTCAACACTGTATTGCACACAATAAAGGCATTTCCTCGTGAGATCACTCACTAACCTGATTTTACAGATGAGAAAATGGGGGCTTAAAGAAGTTAAGTAGCATATAGCTTAATCAATTCTCACCCATGTGTTCTGAAGAATGAGGAAGACTTAGGCTAGATTTCTAGATCCTAAACCAGAGGGGAAGGGCTTGCCAGGGCCAAGGCCCAGCAGGAGCAGTGATAGTGGAGCTTGCGTGAATTTTAAAGTCCATCTTCAAATAAACAGATTCAAAATCTGTGTGTCCTCAATTCCAAGATGTACCATCTAACCATCTATTGGTAACTTTTAATAATAAAAAGAAACTACTTCAAATATGTTTTGTTTTGCTTACCAATTATAACACAGACATATCTGCAATCCATGCTTTAGTTTCAGTCCAAGGCAGTGGTTCTCAAACTGTACCAGGCATCGAACTCAGCCGGGGAGCTTATAACATGCAGGTCACCGAACCCAAACACAGGGATTGGATCCTGTGCTTCTGGGAGGGGCTGGGAGGCTACGTGTGAGCAGGCCTCTTGATTCTGGTGCAAGGCCACGTTTGAGAATCAGTGGTCTCTGGGTCGCTGTTTTCCTTCTGCCTTTACTCAGGCAGACTAAGCATCATAAATTAAATCATTCCTTAAAAATCAGCCAGAACTTTTTGGTAGATAGGGATCTTATATCGTGAAAACAGAAGAATTGAGCAGAACTATTCAGCCTTAAAAAGGAAGGAAATTCTGACACATGCTACAGCATGGATGCACCTTGAGGACATCATGTTAAAGTGAATAAGGCAGGCACAGGAAGACAGTGCTGCACAGAGTTCCAGTTTGGGAAGATGAAACTGGATGATAGTGGTGGTTGCATAGCCACATGAAGGTACTTAATGCCAATAAATAATAATAAAAACCGGCGTGGGGGGCTGAGTAAACCAGCCTTTCTCAGCTTTGATAATTCTAGTTTCTTCTGAAACACTGATCTCTTCACCTTAGATTGTGACGCTTGATGTCTGACCAATGGTCCTTTCGCACCAGCTCTGTGACAAACACCTACCTACCTGCCTGCACCGCTCTAACCTTGTTAAGCTCTCACTGTTTAGAACAAGAGAATGTGTACGTGCAGCCATTCTGGAGATGAGTAATGGTTCACTTATAATAAACTTACATCTGACAGTCCGGTGCCCTATAACTTTTTATTGCACCAAAGCATAGGAATAAAGTTTTCTTAAAAAACATTGGAAGTGCCGAAACCAGTTTGGCTCAGTGGATAGAGCGTTGGCCTGCAGACTCAAGGGTCCCGGGTTCAATTCCAGTCAAGGGCATGTGCCTTGGTTGCGGGCACATCCCCCGTGGGGAGTGTGCGAGAGGCGGCTGATCGATGATTCTTTCTCATTGATGTTTCTAACTCTCTATCTCTCTTCTCTTCCTCTCTGTAAAAAAATCAATAAAATATTTTAATAAAAATAATAAAATAAAAACATTGGAAGTAACAATTAGGAAGCCAATTTTAAGTTAAAGCTTAAACACATGTGGTGCTATCAGGGCCAACCCTCTGGCCAGGAGGCCCTCGGAGGAAGAGATGCTGTCTGCTTGGCTGACCTTGCATGTGCACCTGTGGTGACAGTTATGGGAGTGGCCAGTTTCCTTCGGTACTGACTGTAAGAAGCAGGCAGAAGTCGGAAATTGTTGAAGGGGGGTAGGAGGGAATTACCAGTCACGGTCCTTGGTAGCACACCAAAGAAGCTGATTCTGGCTAACTTAAGCAGTAAATGAATTTTCTAAAAGATCAGGTTGTTCACAGAATGAATGAGAAGGTTGGAGAACTAGGCTCAAAAGCTAGCTTAGGAAGCCACCATCACTATGAATGAAGTCTCATTCTCCTTCTGCCTGTGTCTGCATCATTCCCTCAAGATTCAGTGATTCGCTATGGTGGGAGGCGATGGTTGTCTGGTTCTAGACCATCTGTGCCCTAAAAGGTGTTCAGAAAATGCACAGAGTCACCCAACACAGATACTCTTTGACCTGTTTCTGAACCTCCAGTTACCTGGTTTTGGTCACAAAGGAGATCAAGTGAGTTTTGGGTCAGAGAGAGGCCAATCCTCTCCACTGGAAAAGCACGTTCACAGGCAGGTTCTGGTGGGCGGGTCCCAGCGGCCTTCCAGTTCCCAGGAACAGCGCCTCCGTTCATCTGCTGAGCCACCACCAGGACCTGCGGCTTCTGGCCCACAAGCCAGTCCCCAGTGACGGAACCACTTACTCTTTCTTTTTATTTTATATTTTATTGATTTTTTACAGAGAGGAAGGGAGAGAGAGAACTAGAAATGTCAATGAGAGAGAAATATCGACCAGCTGCCTCCTGCACACCTCCCACCAGGGATGTGCCTGCAACCAATGTACATGCCCTTGACCGGAATCGAACCTGGGACCCTTCAGTCCGCAGACTGATGCTCTACCACTGAGCCAAACTGGCTTGGCAGAACCACTTACTCTTATCTCAGGAGACAGTGTGTTCTGGCCTCACAGGGAAGGAACTCAGAGTGAGAGCTTGACTCAGAATCTTTACAGCTGCTGTGTGACCCTTTCGATAGTTGTTGTTTGTTTCCTCTGTTCTACACTGGCTGCCAACAGCAATGCCAGTAAACTTGGGCCCACACTCTGAGGACTTTTGTCCACGTGGTCCCCAGGGAATCAGGAATGAAGTGAACCTCCCGGCCCGGGAGCACACACACGGTGCTGATGACAAACACTGCTTCGGGCAGCAGCTTCCTCCGGGAGGAGGCTGCGTCAGGGGCTTGGGGACAGGCGCACAGGCGGCTTCGGCATTGCTGAACATTTTCCTTTTATGTTAAAAATGTGTCTGAGTCAGTTTGCTCCTTCAACTACTCCCCTTACACCTGCTCTTCAAGTTTCATGGGAAGTTTAGTGCATGGACTCCTTTATTTCTGCCTAATAGCTCATTGTCCTCTAGCCACTTTCCCATCCATCTTAGATCCCTCACTCCCAAACTCCCAAAATGGGTGTTAACATTTTTGTATTTCTGCTGCAGTATGCATCCATAGGCAATTGAGTATTTCTTGGTTTTGGTTTTGCATTTTACCTGAATGTTATCAGACTGTACATATCCTTTTGAAACTGATTTTTTGTTTTGTTTTTATTCACCAATTTTTTTGGAGATTGGCCTGTGTTGACAAGTAACAATCTAGTTCATCCTCAGTGCTGTATGGTAGTTTATTATATAAATAAACTAGACTTATTTATGATTCTTTAGACTTGTATGCATTTGGAAGTTTTCAAAATCTAAAACAAGAGACACACACACAGGCTCTGATTGGCTGCACTGAGACTCTGGTTCTGAAGCTAATCAGATTGAGATTAATAATAAACCTCCTCTTATTATAATAGCTTTTTTTTTTTTTTTTTTTTTTTTTTTTTGTGGGACTCTGCTCCTTGGGGAAATCCTGCAAGGTTGAGCACAGGCTGAGAGGAGTGTTGATTTAACTGCATGATGTGAAGTGTGTTGGCACATGGCCAAAGCTAACTAAACAGAACTTGTGGTGGGCCTAGCCTCTTTAAAATAGCAATTGGCAAGAGACCATTTCATAGAATGGCTGTGGGACATAATTTTTTTTAATATTTACAACATCCTTAAGATATAAATAGCCCAAATGATAAATCTTGGTCACAATTTCAGCCAGCCCAACCTTTGACCTCCTTAACACTCTTAAAACCGTGGGTCAAGAAAAGGCAGTTCCTCTCTTGTGCTTACTGAACACCCACTGGGTCTCTGGGTGGCCCGCTGGGTTTTCTTTCCTCTCCATCTCTGGTACTCTCAGAAAGTGAGAGGCTGAGAGAAGTAGGAGCTTTTGACCCATGGCCTGTGATTTTATAGAGCCATTGATCATCTTTTCCATCGCCCCAAGGACCATGCTAGGGGAATAGGAGACTTGTGAGGACTCGCTGAGATTTCAGATTTGGAATAAGCAGTGCCCAGGGTGACTGTGAGCCCCTTTCTAATCCGTTTTTTCCCACAGAAGGGCTCCTGGGAGCACCAGGGTTAACGAGATTCACCCACTCCCGGGGGCCCCATTTGAAGTGATTTTCCGGTCGAGGCCTCCCACTGCCTCCAGCTTGGAGACGGGTCCGCTCCCCGGCCACTGCTGGAGGACCAGTGATTCCCAGACTCTGGCTACATGTGTCTCCCGCACGCAGCAGTGGCTGTTCTGACGTGCTCCTCTCTCACCCAGGGTACGACTTCTGCCAGGTCCTGCAGTGGTTCGCTGAGCGGGTCGACAGGATCATCTTGCTCTTCGACGCTCACAAACTGGACATCTCGGACGAGTTCTCAGAGGCCATCAAGGCCTTCCGGGGCCAGGACGACAAGATCCGCGTGGTGCTGAACAAGGCCGACCAGGTGGACACGCAGCAGCTGATGCGTGTCTACGGGGCCCTCATGTGGTCGCTGGGCAAAGTCATCAACACGCCCGAGGTGCTGCGCGTCTACATCGGCTCCTTCTGGGCGCAGCCCCTGCAGAACACCGACAACCGCCGGCTCTTTGAGGCCGAGGCCCAGGACCTCTTCAGAGACATCCAGAGCCTCCCCCAGAAGGCGGCCGTGCGCAAGCTCAACGACCTCATCAAGCGAGCGAGGCTGGCCAAGGTAAGCGGCACGGCCCGGCACCAGCCTCAGGCAGGGCCGCTTCCCGCTCTCTCAGAGAAGGGGGTGCCCCATCCCAGGGACTTAGGGGATGAACTTGCCAGAAGTGAGAGAGAGCCTTGAGATTGGTGCCCCTGTTTGAATTCTGGCTCCTAGCTCTCTAACCTTGGCAAGTGGCCTTACCTCTCCAGCCCTATTTTCTAATCTGTAAAAGGGAGCTAAGAAAGTGTTAGTGACCTATTGGCATGCGGTATTTCTCTTCTCCAGTGGATACAGCTGGACTTAACCTTCAGGGTACTCGATACCCAACATTATCCCAACATTATTTTCTAATCAAGGCTGATAAATCACGTCATCGCCTTTGCAGATTTCAAGATTTTTTTTTCGAACTACTTTAAAATGCACACGGACATATTTAATTTACCTGTCATTGTGGAGAGCCTAGTGACTCCAGATGCAGCTGCATTCGGTCATATAAAGAAATAAAAAGCTGAGCCCAGCCGGGGTGGCTCCGTTGGTTGGGCATCATCCTGTGCACCAGGAGGTTGCTGGTTCAATTCCTGATCAAGGTTCAATCTCCAGTGGCAGCCGATCGATGTTTCTCATCAATGTTTCTATATTTCAGTCTCCTTCTCTGAAATCTGTATAAACATGAAAAATAAATAAAAAAAATAAAAAATAAAGGAAAGAAAGAAAGAAAGAGCCGGGAGCTCACTGGGAGGGCCAAGCACATGGCACTCTTTGCCGCCCTTGAGCATTGGCCGCCCTCTGCACGGGCCAGTGTGGCCCAAAAGTCTGCCTGGGACAGACCCAGGAATGATGAGGCCTGTGTAAACGGGGGCAGGGAGCAGTCTACTTGCTGAGTTTACTTCTAGGAAAAAAGCTTGTCTTCTTTTTTCCTTCCTGAGAATAGTGCTGGCTTGTTCCTTTTTATGAAGAAACAAGTTTAAAGTACAGCTGGTCCGGCCCGGGCTTCTCAGTGCCAGGGAGCTCCGGGGGCGGCACCAAGCTGTGCAGGGCCCGGGAAACGGTCTCGGGCGCGTGAAGGAGAGCTCGGCCAGCGGCCTGCGATGCCTCCCACTTTACACCGTCTGCAGTGGCATGGCCACTGGTGAGCTTGTTGTTGCTTAAACGGACACGGAGTCACCTGACTCCGTGTCCGTTTTTCTTTTTGCCAGATTTACATTTCTTAAAAATACTCTTAGATTTTGGTGTGTCCATCTTTATTTCTCTTGATCCAGTCTTCCTTTTGCAAGTCAACCCTCGCAGAGGGCCTGCCGTGTTCCAGAAGCGTTACGGTCTGCATGGACTGTGTTGTTTTGTCTGATCCGGTCAGTACTTGCACAGTCAGGCACTATCTTCATTTCTCCTGCCACAGGGAGCTAATGCTCAGAGAGGCGAAGCCACTTGCCCCAGGCCTCATAGCCTGTAATTTGCAAAATATAGATTTCAACCCCAGGCAGTCTGACTCCTTGGCCTGGAAAGCATTCACCTGAAATCCAGCGCCGACGGCATCCGGCATCCATTGCTCCTCAGTGAGTGTCCTTGCTTTCTGCGCTGATCTGCCACTGTTCATTCCTTAAAATTCTCTATCCACAGAAACCTACAAAAGTTGAGAGGTTTATCGACCTGACATTTTGAAAACCTGTAGAGGGTATTCAGGCGTCAGAGCTGAGTTGGGGTGTGGAGTGTGTCTATTTATAGAACACCATAATGAGGCAGAATTCATGACGCATCCAAAAATAAACGGGGTGTGACTGTCCGGCCAGTTCTGTGGAGATCAAACTCGAGGTGTCACGAAGATGGCATTTGAATAATATGAAGCATGGCACTCTGACCAAAGAACTCTTGAAACTTAATGATTTCCTGGCTTTTTCTACTTAAATATTTTTTTCACAGCTCTGTCCCACATAACAGGAAAACCCCTGGAGTGGGCTTTTGGTTAGCCTCAAAGATCGCACACCTCATGGTATCAGTACACATCACTCTATAGAGCATGTCCGTAATCTATTAATAAGATGCAGTCGAGGTTCGTCTCATGATTCTTTAAAGTAAGCTACTTGGGGAAAGAACCAAGAAGCATTTAGAAAACATAATTGAGTTGTATTCAGCTATGAGTCAAATAGCCAAATTAAAAAACAAGGCGCTCACAAACCTGAGGTGAGAGTGTTTCATGGGATAAATGCACAAAAGTAGAAACCGAGGCCAGTTCACTGGCAGACCTCGCCCTTTATAACATATTGCCCAAGAATAGGAAAGCTTCCTGCCCACTTGGAGATCTTTGCTCAACAGAAAAATGAGTCAACATTTGAGGAAGGAACAACTAAAAAAGAGAAGGAAAAGGAGAGGCCAGTGATTTTGGGGTTCACTATAGTTCTGCAGAATTTAGTTTCATCTTCCAAGCGTGTTCTCTTCTTGGTCATGTGTAACGTGCAGAGCCCAGCTTTCTGGTTCATCTGTCCGCTTCTTCTGTGGAGAAGTAAGACATTTTGAACTTCACCAAAGAGACCCAGGTTAAAGTGTGTGGGTCACTCCATAGTAGGTGATGATGATCCGCCATTGGGGCTTTAAAAATAGCTCAGTCGGCTGCCCCAAGCTGCTGTGGTGTATGTGTCAGTCTTGAGCCCATATAGGGAAGCATGTCTCTTTGAAGGTTGACCTGGCTGGGTGGTCCCCTCAAGTCCCTTGTAAGCTGTTCAGAATCATATGACCGTCAGTGCCAGCTTTGACTTCAACAGAACAGCCAACCCCCACTCAAGTGGGAACCTGTCAGCTGCTTTTCTCTGCCTCCTGCAGTCTCACATTTGATGACCCCATGGGTTCATCTTTTGGGTATTTGTGAACAGGATTCCTTATATTATACCATCATAAGCCCCCTTTAAAATGTGCTGATCCCCTGGTGCTCTTTGCAAGGTTCCAGCTGGGCCTACAAAGACGCAGGTCTCCAGCAGGTCATGTCAAGCTTGCAGATGAGGTTGCACAGTGTAGAATCACGTTTTTCCATACTCACTTCCCTCAAACTGCTTCCGGTACCCAAATTCCATGAGCATTTCCATTCCCACTGACCATGAGCACTGGAAGCTTCCAATCTCGCTGCTGGGGGTTGCCCTTCAAGCCCAGGGGGATGTATCCAGTCTGAGTATATGCTTGTCAATCTTGGAGATACGTGAACACTCGTCACTGAACACAATTAACAAGGTTGTGGCAGAGTCTGTATGTGAACTGTCAGTTCATGTTCATTTAAAGGGAGCACATCGAGTTATTAGCCCAGAGAAAACGTGACATTTGGGCTTTTCCAGGTTTATACAATGAAATAAATGGGTGACTTGGACAAGATAAGATTGTTCAAAAGCCCCCAGGGTTCAATGGCCTTCACTAGTGAACAAGGCACTTGGGACCCGAATTCACCATATTACTATTTAAATAGAGAGAGCTTATTACTTTTTCAATAAGAACTAAGTAACCACAAGCCTTCTCTGGCATTGCTACCTCCAGCTGTTGGTCTCTGACCGTTAATCAATAACGAGTAACATTTTATTCCTCTTTCTTTTTTTTTAATATATTTTATTGATTTTGTACAGAGAGGAAGGGAGAGAGATACAGAGTTAGAAACATCAATGAGAGAGAGTCATCGATTAGCTGCCTCTTGCACACCCCCTACTGGGGATATGCCCGCAACCAAGGTACATGCCCTTGACTGGAATCGAACCCGGGACCCTTCAGTCCCCAAGCCGACGCTCTATCCACTGAGCCAAACCGGTTTCGGCTTATTCCTCTTTCTAATGGACAGAGTGCCTTCAAGTCTTAATAACAACCCTCCCTTGTGAGGTAAGGGTTGTAATTTCCAAATTGCAAAGGAACAAACAGGCTGGGGGTCAGCCATCTCTCCTGGAGCTGCTCAGGGAGTGACAGCGGTGGCAGGGCCCGACCCGCCTTCCAGTGCTTGATCTGCCCTGCCTCCCTCTCTCCTCCCTCTGTCCCCCTTCTCATTCCATATATCTTCTTAATGAGTTTTCTCTTATTATGAAGAACAAAAGGTCTCAGACTGTTTCCACCTCCTTCCACAGGGACCACCACCTGGTCTGGCCCTCCCTCCGCCATGTATTGGAGACTCCCCTTTGACACATGAGGGCTTTTGTTGACGCTGACTGGGGGTTCCAGCCCTCTGCTGTGCTCTCCGCTGGCCACGAGACCTTAGAAATGTGCAGGGGCCACCCTGCCAGAAGATTGCAGTCTTTACCCACAGTGTGTCCCTAGTGTTGGGTTTCATATGTTTCTTGTGTGTCGAAGGGGAGAGTAAATGACCTTCCAAATGAGTTAGAAATAATCAGAAGCCAAACCTCAAAGTTTCCCACACTATTGTTCTTTAGGACGCAGATCATTTTGAATTTCAGATCTTCAGCAGCTTCAGTAACTTTTTAAATTCATACTAATATAAAGCAATTCTATAAAAATGAAACATTTGAATGGTGATGTCAACTCTCCATCCCCTAACTAGCTGGGTGGCCTTGAGTAAAGTTGTATGAATTTTCTGGAACCAGGTGTTCACTTCGATATAGGGGGTCCCTTCCGATTTAATACTCCATGATTCTGAGGATTATAACTTACCTCGTAACTTGATAAGCTCCTTAGAGGTGGGGCCCATTCATAGAATCTGACCCTGGTTATTGTCTCGGGATGCCCAGGAAAGGGCAGGAGAGGAGTGGTCATGCAGAGACAGCACAATAGGAAATTTCCACAGAACAGGCCAGTGGAACTTCCTGTATGTGAGGTTGAGGCTGAGAGTATCCTGCAGCATGAGTCGGCCACCTGAGTCATGGCTCAGGTAGCTCCAGGCAGGTGGGAGGAGGAAGGAGTTGAGGACTGACACAAAAACTGCTGTTATCTCAGCCCTGAGGTGGCCCATTATTCAGCGGCCTGTCATCAGCCACTGACCAGCATGAGGGCCGAGCTCAGGGAGCAGGTGCCAGGCATTAGGTGGTAGGTGCACATCACTCACAGTC